TTCTTTCTTTCTTTCTTTCTTTCTTTCTTTCTTTCTTTCTTTCTTTCTCTCTTTCTCCCTTTCTTCTTCTTCTTCTTCTTCTTCTTCTTCTTCTTCTTCTTTGTATTGGGAATATTGTTAAGCATATTCTAAAATGTATGTGGAAATGCAAAGAGTCCAGAATTGCTAAGATAGTCTTGAAGAAGTTAAGTTTTATACTAATAGTTGCCAATACTTTTAAAAAAACATTTTTGCCTTTACTTATTTTTAACCTACAGTAATTAAAATATGGTGTTCTACTGGCACAAGGACAGATACCTAGATAGATGGAGAACAGAGAATTCACAAGTAGACAAACATATGTAGTCAAATGATTTATAACAAAGTTGATACTGTAGTGTGGTGGGGAAAGGATAATATTTACAATAAGTGTGTAAATCAATTGGATATCCATAAGGAAAAAAATACTGTAAGACCTATCTCCTACCATATATTAAAACTCAGCTCCAGATGGACCTACGCATTTAAATGTGGAAAGGCAAAATATTAAAATTATAGAAGAAATTATGGGAGAATCTCTTCATGATCCTGAGGTAGGCAAGATCTTTTAAACATGACACATAAAGCATTAATCATGAAGGAAAATCTTACTAACCTGGACTATATTGAAATTAAGAGCTTCTGTTTAAAAGACAACAATAAGAGAATTTTAAAATAGCAAACTACAGAGTAAGGTACAGTCATTCTTTGTTATTCGTGGATTTCACACTTGTGAATTTGCTTTACACTAAAATTTATTTGTAACCTCAAATTAAATACTGCCAGTGCGGTTAAGGTCATCCATAGACATGAAGAGAGTAACAGAAAATTTGAGTTGCCCAGCATGCATGGTCCCAGCTAAGGTCAAACGAAGAGATACACTGCCTTCTTATTTCAGCAAGTGTCCTTTTTGCAGTATATGTAGTACCACATTTTTTGCATTGCCGAAGTTGTTTTGTTATTTTGTCATTTCAAATGGCCTGCATCGCCTAGTGCTGAAGTGCTGTTTAGTGTTTTTAAGTGAGGGAAGGGCTGTTTTGTGCTTTACATGGAAAGTGTGTTAGCAAACTCTGTAGGCATGAGTTACGGTACTTTTGGCTGTGAGTTTCATGCTAATGAATCAACAACATACCAGATGAGGTGTCTTTAAGCAGAAAATACATAAAACAAGGTAATGTATTGATCAGTTGACAAAAATGTTGTGACTAGAGTCTTATAGGAACCCAATCTTGTATGTCCCCCAGGAGCAATGATTCAGCATTCACCAATTCAGTGCTTATGTGACTTTATAGACCATAATTTATTGCAAATAATGAGAATTTGCTATATCTGTAATACATGTTTTTTAAAGGACTCATATACAGAATATATAAGGAAGTCTTATAAAACAGTAAGAAAAAGGTGGGCAATCCAACATAAACATAGGTGAAATACTGAACAGGTACTTCTTGAAAAGAGATACTCATTGGGTCCATTTATTTATGAAATGGTAGACTTGGACATATATGCTTTATCTGTACATTATCACCCAGTTTCACTCACAAAAATGATAACCTACAATTTGCATAATATAAAGTTATTTTTAAATGAAGCGATTTTAACTTTGTAGGTTCCTAATGCAAAAAGTCCACATTACCATTATAATAGTTTCCTCTACAAACAATTGAAGAACCATGCCTAATAAAGTCTCAACTGATAAGTCAAAAGAATAAATATATGACTATAATTATCCAAAGTCAATCAAATACCACTTGAGCCTATATTTTATCTACAGAGCTTTAAAAATATTTGAATGTTTGTTGGAATTCATATAATAACTAAATATATAGAGTTTTAATTTAGGATCTTGGTATTTTCTGAGAAAATAATGGGGATGGTAAAATTAAATTCATGTGCAAAAAAAAAAAGGTTTTAAGATTACCAAATTCTATCCAGACAATTTTGTCATAAATTTGTATATTTAATCTGCTGTTTTAATCTGCTATTTGCTTTGCCACTGCTGGGTCTTTGCTCATGCATTTCCCTGTATGCCTGTGCCTACTACAATGCTAACCATATTTCATTGCCCAGCTAAAAATGTTGCCACTATGTCCTTTTCTCGTTTCTCATCTAGGAGTAATTCCTTCTGCTGCTGAGCTTCCATTGTACTCTTCAGACATTTAGTCCTTCTCATTCCACTTGGCAATGTAATTATTTACATACCTATTCTATCTTCCACACTAGATTATAAATCCTATCCAAGGTAGAGGCAAGGCACACTACCTGTTTGAATCCCCATAGTACTGATCTCACACAGGGACTTCAACTTTGAGATTCATTCGATAAATACTTAAAAACCTAAAGAAAATTTACTTACTTGATAAAATACATTTTAACCATCATTTTCTAGAAAATGAAAAGTGACCAAAAGAATGTAGGGAATAAGTAGGGCAAAAACAAACAAAAATTTCAACAACAACAAAAAATAAGCCTAGCAAAGTTGACAAAAGCAGTCAGGAATAAGGTATGATCAGGTGAAGGAAGTTCCTTTTGATGACACCTTTTCCTCCTATAGCTCTTCCTGTCTCTCCTGTGTTTCTGGTTTTCCTTGTTTGACTTCCATCTTTCACTCTGCCTTTGGCTAGTAGTACTGAATTCTGCTTTCCCAGCTCCTCACCGCCCCCCTGATTTAGGCTGGTGCCAGTCAGAGCTAAGTCAGACTATGACCATGGCCAATCTCCCAATAGCCATGCTTTCATTATTTGTTTCCCAGCCGTAAAGCTGGGTGTCACAATAGCTCTTTGAGTACCCATCCAGTATGTCATGAGACAAAAGACATTTCCTGGCTACCTTCAATGAGACAGACAGCCTTCTTTTATTTTGATAGCCATTTTACCGAAAAACGATTCTAGATCCCATATTACCACCTGATGAAAGTATCTAATATGCGGAAATCAGTTGATTGTTTACCAGTAAGAATGGTCTCTCTGAAATATAATTGAGTACCTTCAATAAGTTTTCTTACGGTTCTCACAATATATTAATACTTCTGTTCTCAGTACATATAGATAACTATGTTATTGGAGGTTTTACATGTCGAACTGGATAGATCACTGGTCTGCTGGAACAGAGATAAATAAATAACCCAACACCTGCTAGAGTGCCTGAGGCAAAGTATGATTAATGTGAGTGGATGATGATGTTTAAAGCAATATTTTCTTTTCCCTCAGTCTTGAGTGACTACACCATCCTAATGCTCTGGAGACAGCTGTTTTTCTCGTGGCAACAGCTGGAGCTGTAGTACCCTGTGGGTAGCATCAGCCCACTTCATGGACCCTGTGTTTCCCAGGAGAGTCTAGTTAGAGTCTCTCACTGCACACAAAGAACACATCAAAGGAAATGACAAGACAAAGAGAGTGAATAATTGAATGGAGCCATCCAAAATGTTTTAAGCCCATCCTCAGAAAAAAAAAAAAAAATTCATTCTTACCTAAACTATTTCATGTGCTGAAAAAGTACACATCTGATTAAAGCTGCATCCTCATTTGTACCATCATTACTATCATTATCAAAGACCTGAAATGAATAGCCTCAGTGGCAGGGCCAAGCGGTGGGCTCAGGGGACGCACACCCAGGCTTCTACCTGGCATTCCACATCTATGCTTGTGATTGCCCACTGGGCGTTTGTCTCAGGTCATCCCACCAGTAGAAATGGGAAAAACTTTAACTTAAAAGATCCAACACAGGGGCGCCTGGGTGGCGCAGTCGGTTAAGCGTCCAACTTCAGCCAGGTCACGATCTCGTGGTCCGTGAGTTCGAGCCCCGCGTCGGGCTCTGGGCTGATGGCTCAGAGCCTGGAGCCTGTTTCTGATTCTGTGTCTCCCTCTCTCTCTGCCCCTCCCCCGTTCATGCTCTGTCTCTCTCTGTCCCAAAAATAAATAAAAACGTTGAAAAAAAAAAAAAGATCCAACACAAGCTTTCTGTTTTCCTCTCCATAAGGCTTCTCTGTCTCCTGTCTCTTTCCTTTCTTTGTACTGGCACCAGCATTCTCCATGATACCCTCTGCAGGAACTTGGGGATGATTCCAGACCTCTCCATTGCCATCCCTCTCATTTACCAAGTTCTTTGATTATGTCAACTATATAGTTCTTCTTTATGCCCAGCTGCTTCCTCCTTAGTCAATTCTAATTGTATCTACTGGCCATATACATGGTCTTAACCCATTCAGCTTGCTATAAAAACAATACCATAGACTGAGTATCTTAAATAACAAACATGTATTTCTCACAATTCTGGAGGCTGGGAAGTCCAAGATCAAGGTACCAGCAGATTCTGTGTCCGATAAGTACCCACTTCCTGACATCTTCTTGTGTCCTCACATGACAGAAGGCGAGAGAGAACTCTCTGGGGTCTCTTTTATGAAGTTATTGATCCTATTCATGAGGCCTCCCACCTCATGACCTAATCAATTCCAAAAGTCCTACATCCTAAAAATATCACAATAGGAATTGGGTTTTTGTTTTAAGTAATCTCTAAACCCCAATGTGGGGCTCGAACTCATGACCCTGCGATCAAGAGTCACATGCTCTACCGACTGAGTCAGCCAGGTGCCCCATTGCAGATTAGGTTTTAGCATACATTCTACAACATACACTTCCTCCAAAACGTTCTCCACGCTTTACCCAAAAAATAATAGTAATTTTTGTTGCTAATCTGTACAAATCATCGTATAACGTCCTTTGGCCTTAGGATAAAATCCAAGCTTTTTAGCATAGTATGCAAAACCTTTAATCATCTGAGTCTAAGTATCATCTCCTGCTGATCTCCACTATTTTAAATTTTATGCTCTTTTGCTGCTGCACTACTTTCATTTCCCCAAATGGGTCAGATATGACATGTTCTAGTCCTTTGCACATGCTTTCTTTCTGCCTAAAATAGGATTCTCTTTCCCTTACACTTGCCTAAGGGATATCAACTTACCCCAGAGCCTATCACAAATGTCACACCTGTAATGACCATTTCCCGACACCTATGCCTTCAGCCGTGTCACATCCTGCCTTGCTACCTGTTACTTTGGCCATACTTCTATGGTTGCACTTTTCCCACTACACCTGGATCATGTGCCAGCCTCCTCATCTATATATTAAAGTGTTTACGAGAAGCCAGGGACCATGTCTCAGGTATTTATTGCTGGCACTTCGCATAGTCCCTGACATGTAATAGGTACAGAATAAATATTTTAAACTGAATGGGATTAGATTGAACTGAATTACAATCTGTTGCTAAGGGAATGCATGCAAATAAAAACATTCACATGCAAAGTGCCAAATGAGGGTTTAGAGTCACCCAAAAGAGAGAGCAGTTCTTCTGGGCTAGGAAGAGTTGGATGAGACACAGAGCATTCGATAATATGAGTATTGTATTTCGTGGACTCTTATGTTCATTTCAGTCTTCACAGAGATTGAGTAAATGTGGAAGTGACGAATTCAAAAGTACTGTGATAGTATCAATAGGCCCCTCTTCTGGTTTACAATGTGTTCCTTAAATCCCTTAGACAGTCAAACAGTCGTGGTGTCTGGGTATGCTTCTGCAGGAAGGAATGGAGTGAGTCCATTCGCACAAAGGTGGAAAACTAGAAATGCTACTCACATTAATTTTTCTTCTATTGTGATAACCACTGTCCCTTCGCTACCATGGAACATACTTTTACATGAATAAACAAAGCAATTAATATCTCAGTTTGAAGTACTTCCCTTTAGATTACTTTGCCAATATCCAGAGTTAATCTAAGGAAAATAAGTGGCTATTCGTCTTTGGTAGACCTTTAAGACCATTAAGGTCTACCAAAGTAACTCCTGCCAGCCTGTAAGATGGTGCCCACTTCTGTCCATATAGCACTGAGACACACATTTTGGCACTTTTGGAAAAACACTTTGTCTTTTTTTTCCAGCCTTCAAGTTTTCAGTAATACTGAGTTCCAATTTTAGTGAATCCTGTTGGAAAATAAAGAATTTTAAATGGCAAAAGAAAAAAAGAATATTTACATCTCTGATTTATTTTTCAACCAGAGAGCTACATACTAGATGGCCTCATGGAAAGTTTGATACCTGTCATCCCTTAATCATGGTTCATTAAGGCATTACCTCTCTTTAAACCTAGGTCACCCTTACGCTAAACGAAAATGTCACAGGCCAGGAGACTGCTTCCAGAAATCCCAGGAAACTGGGGGTTCTGAACACCTCACACATCTGAAAAGGCAGATCAACTGCCCTTTCTACCTCTGACAGATCTAGTCTTTTGAGTGGGGGAGAGACAGAGAGAGTCCCAAGCAGACTCTGTGCTGTCAGCACAGAGCCCAAGGCAAGGCTTGATCTCACCAACCCTGAGATCATGACCTGAGCCAAAATCAAGAGTCAGACACTTAATGGACTGAGCCACCCAGCTGTCCCCAGATCTAGTCTTGATACTTGCCCAAAGGGAGCATACTAGTTCCTGGAATACTAGCAGGGAGAAAAAGGCTGTCTTTCTTGGTCACATAATTACTCACTAGTTGACTAGGGCCATAATGGCCAAATCACTTCAATCCTATTGAGCAAACAAGCATGTGGCTGCCTGAGTAAAGGTTCCCAACTGGTTTCTTCCCCAAATGCAGGGTTATGCCCACTGTGGCCAGTAGAGAAGGTAGGAGGATGTGATCATTTTGTGAGGAGGGAACGTTACCTCTGATCTTAACAAATGCCACAACTCAAGCACTTACAACGAAGCCAACTCCAGACCCTCATCCTTAGGGGATTCATCCTTTCAGGAGAAGATAATACAGACTTGACCGTGCCCCCTTCTTTGTCCCCTGGGATCCCTAGGTCAGGACCGTCCTGGTAAAAGATCCCATGCCATCTTGACTGAAGCTCAGACTTTCCTCTCAGAAAGAACTTCTCTCACACAGAACTCTGTTCGAAAGCCTGAAATGTTCGTTCTTTTGTGAGCCCTAGTGATTAAATTCTGCAAAAGAAAGGTGTTATAGGAATGCCAGTGTCTGTTGCATGAAGGGGGGAGTTGTACGAAGGTCAAATGAATAGCAGTCACAGGCTGTGTGGACAGTTTTATTAGGGATATTTCCTCCTCTCTGAGAACCACATTGCGTCATTCCAAAAAGCTCCCAGTGTGACTCGGCCTGAGAAGCCCTTTCCTTTTCTGCCAGGTAATTTTATTCTTGCTGATCTCACCTGAGGGGACTGAGTCTTCTTACTGCTGTCGGCACCTACAGTGACCCTGCTTAGTAATTATTTATTCAATGGGTACGGGAGCAGTGCTTTTTCATTTCTGTCTGGACTGAGCAAGATGATGGAGACAGGAAATGGTCACCATCCTGCACCCAAACAGATTCCACTGTTCTAGTCTTGCTCAGACTAGATCCAAAACAAACTCAATGGAAGGACACAGAGTGTTCTAGTCAACGCCCAAGTATATCTCTAAAGAGTATATACAATTTATATAGTATTAATGCATGTGTGTATTAATTTATATGCATATATAGTCATGTTAGTTCAGGCTGCTGAAGGAAAATACCATAGTCTGAATGGCTGATAAACAACACAAATTTATTTCTCACTGGTCTGAGCCTGGAAGTCTGAAGTCAGGATGCTTGCATGTTCAGGAGACCTTCTTCTGGATTGCAGATAGTTGCCCTTCATTATATTCTTACATGGTAGATAGACAATGAGGCAGAGAGCTCTATGGCGTCTTTTTTATAGGGGCACCAAAATCCCTTTCATGAGGGCTCCACCCTCATGACTTCATTACCTCCCAAGGCCCCACCTGCTAATACCATCGCCTTTGCGGTTAAGGTTTCAACACATGAATACTGGGGAAACACAACAAGCCTGTAACAATAAGTATTTATGATTTCTAGCTAAAGAAGCTGTATTTAGCTTCTTGATCCCCTTGTCGTGCATATTGGAAGAGGGTCATACAGAGTTAAGCTTTCAGAATGTAGGCCCAAAGAAGGGTGTTTATAAATCCTCCTCCTCTGCATCAGGACACTTTCTCCCTCACCCTGTGCAGGGGTCTGTTTTATGGGGTTCAGAGTTCTCTTTTGTGCGTTCCAAACCCAGTTCAAGTTCCACTGAAGCAGGGCTGGTGAGTTTAACTCATTAGCCTCCCAGGGAGACAGTGCTCCTCAGCAAGGCCAGTGATATATTTTCTCAGAGACCACACAGTGTGGTCTCACCTGAGGCAAGTCTGTCCCTCCTGCTAGCATGACTCCAGCTCCTTCAAAACAACAGTTACAATCATTTTGTTTTAAGGTGCATGCATTCTTTTCTGGGCCTGTCTTACATTGATAGATCCGCCAAATTGTTGTCAACGGCTTTTTCCTTAACATCAGGATTAAAAATATGATCTTAGGGGCGCCTGGGTGGCTCAGTCGGTTGAGCGTCCGACTTCGGCTCGGTTCATGATCTCACAGTCTGTGAGTTCGAGCCCCGCGTCGGGCTCTGTGCTGATAGCTCGGAGCCCACGGCCTGTTTCGGATTCTGTGTCTCCCTCTCTCTGACCCTCCCCCATTCATGCTGTGTCTCTGTCTCAAAAATAAATAAAAAACGTTAAACAAAATTTAAAAAAAATATGATCTTAGATTATTTATTTATGCACTTATTTATTTATTTTGAAAGAGGGGAAGAGAGACAAAGAGATGGAGAAAGAATCTCAAGCAGGCTTCATGCTCTCAGTGTAGAGCCTGACATACTGCTCAATCCCTGAACTGTGAGATCATGACCTGAGCTGAAATCAAGTGTTGGATGCTTAACCAAATGAGCCACACAGGTGCCCCTAGATTATTTTTTATTCCAGTATGGCTCGCCTACGTTCCCACACCATCCCCAATGGAACAGGAGTGTCTAGATTATACCTCCATGTCACTTTAGTATAAAAATATATTTTTAAAAATTTCTATTCGTATGTCTAAGGAATATATGCAGTGAGTCCATTTGAGATTGCATGCATGAGTCATGTAACAAATACAATTTTCATCTTTTCTTTAAGTTCATTTATTTACTTAGAGTGGGGGAGGGGCAGAGAGAGGGGAGAGAGAGAATCCCAAGCAGGTTCCACACTCTCAACACAGAGGCCGATGCAGTTCTCTAGATCATGACCTAAGCCAAAATCAAGAGTTGGCACGTAGGAGTGGGTGTTCTAGCTATGACTCCTACTGGACATGGAATGTTGGATTCCTAAGGTCCTGGACCTATGGACAAGCTAATTTAAAAAGGTCAAAGTAGAGTCTCTATAAGGCGGGGTGTATCCAGTTCCCAATGGGAGTGGTGGTCTGCCGATCAGGAAATCAGGGAAATTATTGTCATTTAATCAGAGAACTTAACTCTCATGTGATTATCATGGGATTAAGAGTGTAATCTAATAGGAGAGAATGTGTAAGGATTATTTCCCTTGGAGGAAAAACTGCATGGTAAGAAAGGGTTATTTACTTACTCATCAGAATACAGACCACTACCTTGGTAAGAAAATGGTCCTTTTGCAAAGTGCTCTATGAACACTTTATCATCTGTAAAGTATGCAGTATCAGTTTGAGGAGCTAAGGGCATGAGTTTTATTTTTTCCAAGTTAAAAAAGAATAGGTCCTTCAAAGTTGAACATTTTGAATTACAAATATAAAACAGAACTCATGGTTGTTAAAGTTGACCTTAGTATTATAGGGAGTAATATTGCTTTACCACAGAATCTGGACAAAATGTATTCTCTCTCAGAAATACTCCATGAAATTCTACAGCTGCTCAATGGCCCAACTTCACCTTTTATTTTCAGATATTTATTGTTAGAGTCTTTCATAATTCATAATTTCTTTCTTTTATTAAAGAGCAAAAAAATACACAAGTAAATGAAAAGTTATGTTAGAGCTTTAGAAACTGCTGTCTTAACTCTTCATAACTCTTTTATAATATATATATATAACATATATGTTATTTATATATATATATATGTGTATATATATATATATATATATATATATATATATAAAACTCTTTTATAAACGTGCACTGAATATTTCCAATGTTTGTGGTCTAGGTCAGGATGGAGACCATGGGGTGAAGGGTCCAAGAGGAAGCAAACAGGAGTGAGACACTAGTCCTGCTTGCAAGGGTCTTGCAACATCATGAAGAGAATTAGAGGAGAACACAAAGAATTAAAATATGAAGAAGAATGTCATTTTTACTGTGAGGAAAGTGCACATGAAATTCTATGCAGGTTTAGAGAATAGGTCCTTCATGTCCAAATAGTGACATTTAAAAAGACAGTACAGGTTATCACATTTGAAATAGATCTCAGAAACCTTCCTGGGATATGTTGGAAAGTGTAGATCCATGGAATGGTGTGAAAAAAAAGATGTTTAGGGAGGAAAGTACAGGGTAATTCCATAGGCCATCAAAGGCTCCACAAAGTCATGCCATGAATTCTATATGTTATCCTCTGTTGGTAGAATCCTGAGCTTTTATCAAATTCTCATAAGGCGTCAAGGGGCACCTAGGTGCCTCAGTCAGTTAAGCATCCAACTCTTTATTTGAGCTCAGGTCATGACCTCACAGTTGTGAGATTGAGCCCCATATCAAGCTCCATGCTGAGCCTGCCTGGGATTCTTTCTCTCCCCCCCACCCCCCCGCCTACTGCCCCTTCCCCACATTCTCTCTCTCTCTCTCTCTCTCTCTCTCTCTCTCTCTCTTTCTCTCAAAAAAACATCTCATAAGGGGTCCATATCCTAAAAATGTCTAGGATCCTTCTGGTATAGATCATGTTCTGGGAATAGCAGGAAATTTGAGGCATTTAATAAGCACTGTACAGTAAGCCAAAATAAACAGGTTCAACTCCTTTATTTTTAAATCAAAGAAATGGGACTCTGAGGGCTGATGGATCTCGATCATATCAATGGGCTTTCTACTGGGGGTAAGGCTAATGTCTAGGAAGCCATTCTTAAAAATATGTGACA